CTGTTGCATGCTGTTTCTTCTATGTTGTCTCTTCCTGGGCATCTTTGCCAAGGTTTCAGGTACCTGAAATGCTGGATACTTTCCAATTCTAATGACCAGGTATCTTTCTAAGTTGCAAACCTTTACTCTCAACTATCTTTCTATCAGATGTCCCAGCTCACACTCAGTATGTCTAAACGTTCCCTCCTAACCCTGCTGTTCTTTCATCCGCATTGGGTAAATGTTACCAAACCAACAATTTCCTAAGCTTAGAAATTTGGGCATCATCCTATACACATGCCTCCCTTTAATCTACAGGCAATCCTGTCCATCCATCTGCTTAACATCCTTCTGTCACTCTCATGTTTCATCCTTTGAAAAATCCCCTAGTTTAGACCATTATCATCTCTGGTTCAGATGGCACCTGGAACCTCCACACTATGACATGAAGAATCACAAAACTACAGAACTCTTAGGAGAGAGCACAGGAAAATATCTAGATGTCCTAAAATTTGGTGATGGCCTTTTAGAAGTAATATTAAAGGCACAAATGGATGAAAAAAAATTGACAAGTTAGACTTTGTTAAAATTAAAAACTTCTGATCTATGAAAGATGCTATCAAGGAGATGAATGGAAGGGCAAGCCACAGAGGGAGAAAATGTTTGCAGAAGACACATCTGATCAATGATTGTTATTCAAAATATACAGCAAATTACTAAAAGTCAACAATAAGGAATGAAAATTTTGATTTTTAAACAGACCAAAGATGTTAATAAACACCTTGCCAAAGATATACAGATGGCAAAACAAGTATATGGTGTTATATCATCAGGAATGTGTGAATTAAAACAAGATACCTCTGCACGCCATTAGGATGCTGACAACCGAATGCTACTGAGAAAGTAGAGCAACATTGTTGAAGGGAGTAGAACATGGCACAGCTACATTGGAAGACGGTTGGCAGTTCTTATAAAACTAAACATAGTCAACTATATGATCCAGCAATTACCCTCTTTGGTATTTCCCCAAAGATGTTGAAAACTTATGTCCATACAGAAACCTGTACACAAATGTTTATAGCAGCTTTGTTCATAATTGGCAAAACTTAGGAGCAACCAAGACATCGTTCAGTGGATGAAGGATAAACAGTGATACACCCAGAAAATGGAATATTATTCAGCGCTAAAACAAAATGAGCTATCAAGCTGTGAACAAAAGCATGGCAGAAGTTCAAATGCTTATTACCAAGTGAAATAAGCCTATCTGAAAAGGCTACATCATGTGTGATTCCAACTATATGACATTCTGGAAGTTAAAACCATGAAAGCAAAAGGATCACTGGTTCCCAGGAGTTGTCAGGAAAGACAGATGAACAGGCAGAGCACAGACTAGTCTTAGGGCATTTCAACTATTCTGACTGTGATGGTGGATATGTGTCATTACATACTCTTCAGAACCCAGACAATGTACAACTGAGAATCCCAACGTATACCGTTGAATTTGGTGATCATGATATATCAATGTAGGTTCATCAGTTGTAACAATTGTACCACTCTATTTAAGGAGGTTGATAATGGGAAAAGCTAATCCTATGTAGGAACAGGAGTATAGGGGAGCTCTCTCTGTACCATCTTCTTTATTTGATTTAAGCTTAAATTTGTTCTTTAAAAAGACTATTAAAAGCGTTGCAAGGGCTTGTAGTGGCAGCTCACACCTTTAATCCCAGCACTCAGGAGGCAGAGGCAAGTAGATCTCTAATTCCAGGCCAGCTTGGTCTATATAGCAAGTTCCAGGCCAGCCAGATCTACATGATAGAACCCTAGCTCAAAAAACTTGAAAAGCCATTGCAGGGGAGAGGGGCTGGAGGATGACTCAGTGGATAAAGCACTTGCTGCACAAGTGTGAGGACTAAAGTTTAGATTTCCAGCATCCAAATAAACATCAGACAGGTATGGTAGCCACCTATAATCGCAGTATTCTGGAAGTAGAAATAGAGGATTTCCAGAGCAAGCTGACTAGCTAGGCCAGGTGAACTGGTTAGCTCTGAGTTCAAGGGAGAGACTTGCCTCAATTATAAGGTGGGAAGCAGTGGAAGAAGAAGCCCAGTGTCAATCTCTGGGCTTGACATGCATCTGCACACATGTGAACATGCATACACATAGGAACATGCATTCACATGCAACACACACACACACACACACACACAAAGCATTGCAGGGGCTTGGGAGATGGATTAGCAAATAATGTGCTTGCAAGAGAGCCCAAGTTCAATCCCCAGAACCCATATTAACAATCCAGGCATAGTATTGGTATGCATTTGTGATCCCAGTGCTGGGGAAGCAGAGACAGAGGGATCACTAGGACCTACTGGCCTACTTGGCAAGTTCCAGAACAGTGAAAGTCATGGCTTTTAAAATAAAAAGGTGGATGTTGCCGGACATGGTGCTGCACACCTTTAATACCAACACTTGGGAGGCAGAGGCAGCCGGATCTCTGTGAGTTTAAGGCCAGCCTGGTCTCCATTAGCGAATCCAGGCCAGCTGCAGCTACAGGGTGAATTTGTCTCAAAAAGACCAAAAAAAAAAAAAAAGGTGGATGTCATGCACACACACACACACACACACACACACGCACGCACGCACGCACACACACACACACACACTGCGCACCATTGTAATGCACCACTGTGATGCAGTACTAACAGTCATGGTATCAGCACTGGTAGGATTGTTGCTAATTAAAAATGCCCTTTTCTTGGTATTCTGTTTCTCCCTTACCAAAATCCTGACAACTCTGGAAAACAGAGTAGTTTCTGTGCCTCCATATTGCTGCCCTTTGCTCTTTCTATTTAGAATGTCTTCTCTTGCTCTTCCTTCATCCTTCCCTCCCCCACCAAAACTCCTCATTCATATTCAAGTTGTAGATGAAGCATCAATACCCATCTGAAACTGTCTTCAACTCTCCCAGGTGCTGTCTCCTTTCTCAGACTTCCACTCTAGCATGATGTCATCGAGGCATAATTGTTTGCAGGTCTGTCTCCTCCAGAGAAGGGGCTGTGTTTCTTCATCACTTGGAATACACTGCCTCATGAGTATTAGGATACAGTAGGTGCCAGGTAATCACTGACTGCATGACTGCCTTCAGGATGCTGCAGCTTCATTATAGAGGCATGCAGATACATACCCAGCTGGTGAAGAAGAGACTAATTTTTGATGTGCAAACATGCCTCCCATCTTTTGAAATGTAGTCCAAGGTCTGCCTCTTCCATAAAGTTTTTTTGAACACCTACAGGTCCCATCCATGCTATGGATGGTAGCATCCTGAATGGTACTCCATCAGACATTGCACAACATCATTCTTCACTACATTTCTAATGCATGCTTTCTCAACAAGACAGAATGTTCCCTGAGGATAAGGATTGTTTAACATTTCACCAAGTCTAGCAGGCTGGTAGATACCTCCCCAGAGCAGCTACTCCCGGAGATGCCACAATATCAGCTGCCTTCCTTGTGAGGCCAGCCGGGCTCTGGATGGCTATGCTGGAAGTATTAAATTTCAGCTTTAAAGCTACAAGAAAAAGATGACTTGTGAATGTCTTGAGCTATGTTGGAGATACATGTGCATGGTGTTTTTCCAGTATCCAATATTAATAATCTTCAACACTTCAACAATACCACAGTGCTGGTATTCACATGAATTATTCCTAAGAAACCACTTAAAACTATACAAAGCAGTACCAGGCAGTGGTGTATCCCTGTCATCCTAGAACTCAGGAGGTTAGTGAGTTCACTATATAGCCTGGGCTATATAGTGAGACCCTGTCTCAAAAACAAGAACAAAAACAAAACAGAACCCTTAGATGGGAGTAGCTGAGGATGGTACTTCTGCCTGTTTTCTTTGCTATTTATATATACCCTGTCTGTCAGTGCTCATCTCTCTGGTCTTTGTTAGAAAAGTCAGATGTATAGAGCTCTCAGCCTCCTATTCTCTGCAGCTCAGTAGGTTATCATACACAAAAAGACATGCAGTTAGGAGGGGGACATGTGGGGGACATATTGTGGGGGACATGGGGTAGTTGGAGGAGGGAAAGTGGGGGTGGATATGATCCTTAAGAAAGTTAATAGTTTGAATCAAGGCTTTTATTCTAATCTCTATCTGAATTTGCACCTGCCTTTGTGTACTGCCTTGTCAAAGTTGCTCACTGAACTCTCAAGTAACTTCACCACTTCTGCTCCCTGAATCACTGAAATATAAAGAAGTTTCTCAGGACACACTCTAAAATACTTCATGCAATATCCAGATGCCAGGAATCGTCTTTCTTATTCTACCTGTGTAAATTTGCTTCAGAGCATCTCTCCCTACAATACTTATACTACTACACATGTATGCATGTACACACACACACACACACACACACACACAAAAACAAATAAATGTTTCTAAAAAAACTTTAAAATTCACAGCCAAATAGAGCCTCTGATGATACAACAACTAAATGTAAATCTGGGATAGGACCTTGGGAACAAAAAATACATTAAATAAAATATAAGTAAACAATGAACTTTAGTTAACAGTAATGCATCGATATTGATTCATTAATTTTAAGAAATGTACCATACTAATGAGAGTAGTGACTGGTGACCTGGGTATGAGATATGTGACTCACTATACTTTTGGCTCAACTTTTCTATAAATTTTAAACTGTCCTAAAAACTAAAGCCAATTTTACAAAGAAGAAGAAATGGTCTCGTAGTCAACAGACTGTCCCTGGCAAAGGAAATAGGAAAGAGTCAGTTTGCGAATGATCCCTTTTAAAGGAAGCAACTCTACTGTCAAATACCATGTTTGTGACTTGGCTATCAGAGCCTATAGCAAGCCTGGGTGCTTACTTGCTTTTCTAGGGTTGATTTTTCTGGCAGGCGGCTGCAAGCATGTGCACACTGATTATAATTTTGAGATGCATTGTCAGTAACCAGGATGTATAATGGATCTGCAGCTCTAATTACTTTTCTCTCCACAGGTGTCTGGAAAAGGTCCAGATGGGACCGTACACAACTTCCGCTTTGAGGGGATGGAGCGACAGTATGCTTCCTTACCCAGGTAGGGCACAGAGGGGTCTTCCATTGCCAGTTCACCCACAAATGAAGCCTTTGGAGATAACTACATGAAATAGAAATCTGGCTTTGAAATGGGGAATATGTTAGAATTTTGCCTTAGTGCCGTCTGCTGAGGCCCTGGTGCCATCTTCACAACTGTGCTAATAATTGAAACACTTGTGAGTTATTTTTTTTAAGGGGAGAGAATAGTATATCATTGCAATTGAACATGTCAGCAAGAATATTGGATACTGAATGGAAATCCTAAGCCATTGCTATAAAAATGGTATTGAACATCCTACACCAAGCTTAGAGGCAATAAAATTGCAAATCCTGTGTCCTAGGAGTTACCCTCGAGAAAGGGCAGACCAGCCTTAACCTCAGAGCTCCAGGTGGGTATTAAAAAGTGAGAGAAAAACATGAACCTGGGAAGGTATTTTTTTGCTTGATTTAGAATCTGACCGCGTCCTTGAGGCAGTAAGCAAATATTGCTAAGAGGCAGAGACAAGTGGTGGGGAAGGAACTGCGTGGGAAAAGTTTGCTTGGAGAAGTTGACCTAATTTGATCCCCATACGCAGTAACGAGACACCCCTGAAAATGAGATACAGTTCTCAAAGGTTAGGACTGTTATCAGCGAGATGAAGAGTGGGGTTAGTCTGCAATCAGGAGCACTGGCTTGACAAAGAGGAGACCTTTCCAAGATGACTTATGGCCAGCCTCCATGGGAGTCAGATGAGTTGAGAGTGTGAGAATTAGCAAGTTCGAAAAGAAGCAAAGAAAGGCGAATGCCAGCCACCAAAGTGAAATGACTCAGAATATCACCTCTGAAAGGGCAAGGTTGAGCTAAGGTCTTAAATCAGAGATGGACATGCTGTTCTGAGTGGCATGTTGGCTCTACTTCTGCAGGTGAATTGGCAAGACAATATCCTGAACATTGCCTGAGTACTCTTAGAAAATGTACATTGAGCCAGGTATGGTGGCGCATGCCTTTAATCCCAGCACTCAGGAGGGAGAGGCAAGTGGATCTCTGTGAGTGCTAAGCCAGTCTGGTCTATACAGCAAGTTTTGGGCCAGCCATACCACATAGTGAGACTCCCTGCCTTAAACCTCTCCCACTAGAAGGTTATGTTGGAGCTGGTGAGATGGTTCAGTGGTGGGTGAGGTAGTTGGATTCCCCAGAACCTAAGTAAATGCAAGGAGGGCATGACAGCCCACCTGTGATTCCCAGTCTCCTAAGGTGGAGACAAAGGATCCCCAGAGCAAGGTGTCTACCTAGAATTGCATTTCTATGAGCTTGGGGATCAACTGAGAGCCCCTGCCTCGATGAATAAGAGGGAGAGCAAAGAAGGAAGACTCCTGGTCAGCCTTAGGCCTCTATAGCATATTCACATATGTGTACACACACGTGAATATGCACACATACACACCATACATACCACATACAGATGAAAAAAGTATGTGGATTATCAAGTTATACAGCCTTATATTTATCAGAGGATCAGTTTTAAGAGTGATTTGGTGTGGCAATCAAAGCACAGATTGCAAAAGCTTTGACACACCTGTATTTTATTTATCTCTGTTTTCTTTATATATGTTATCACACAGGGTTTTCTCATTTCTTTCTCTTTTTTTCTTCATCTACGGTTTGTTTCCTGTCTATATTTTTTCCCTGGCTTAGTATTTGTTTTCATTTTGAAAAGTGGAAGTCGTTTCCAAAATTCATTTGAAATATAACATTTTCAACTTCCACTGTTGATGGATATGGAAACTGTGGTTAAGGGCAAATGGAAAGTAATAGGTTCTTAGGAAAAGGGGAAGAAAGGGGAAAAAATCAGTTTAATGTCTTTCTGGCCAACTTGCATTCCAAGTTCAGAAACTGTTCTCTTTTTGGGTGCAAATCAAAAGCACAGAAATAACATTTATAGTTCTATAAACCTCACTCATTTTTTCATCCCCCCTGTTCTGGTGCTCACCTACTATGTAGAGGGTCCATGAGAACATGGAACCAGAGACACAGTCCCAGTCTGTCCTCAGCACTCTACTGTCTGTGAAAGGACACAAAAAAATCAGCCTTTTATGAGAATGCATGACTACTAATATAAAGACCTCTGGATTTCCAATTCCTGTTTATTTTCACTAATTAGCCCTGAAATGCCCAATCATGGCTGACTCCAAACAAGTCTGCTTAGAAATAAACACTGCTGAAGGAGTTTTGTGACAAAGACAGTGTGTGGATGCTGTTTGTGGTTTAGGAGCTATCATCAGTGTTTGAATTGGCAGAACCCTGCCAGCTCCACGACATCATTGAAGCTGAAAGAGAGGCATCTTAGCCTGAAAATAGTGTTGGCACTGAGTCCATTCTCTCACACAATGATAGGAGTGATTAGCTGCATGTGCAAATAGACCTCTGTGGCTACCTGGCAAGAAGTAGCCATAATGGAGAATAGACAGGGCTCAGACAAATGTGTGAGAACTCCTGGCTGCCGGGATGTCAATGGGGAGCTCACATCCCAATTTCCATTTTGGGATTCAAAGAGAAGACACAGAGCTCCCTCAGAGGGTGTGTGCCCAGTCCTGGGGCCCATGTTTGCCTGAGACACAGAGTTACAGAGGTGAGGACACACCCTGTTGGCCTCTGAGGTACCAGACTCAGTTGGCTGAGTGCTGGTGACACTGCCCTGGGTCCCTCCACCCTCACCTGAGGATTTTCCTGTCTTCTTAATTGAATCACACCAACTCCCTGAAAGAGAAACAGTGCCACAGGCACAGGATTCCTCTTTATCACAAAGGCAGGGAGCTTCTAAATGCTTATGGAATTTAATTTTTAATTAAAAACAGGAATAATTCTGTAGGAAATCAGTGACCATCCTTATAGGGAATTGAATATGTCCCTGACTGATTTGGCACCTATGCCGTTCATTGAGATGTCAAAGGAGTTTTTAAGGTAAACTCTGTATCCTTGACTTACATGCCAAATTGGGAGGCAGGCAGAAAATGTGTCACTGTCCAGGGCACCCTCCTAAGCTTTCGTGGAACTCTGTCATCCTTAAAACAAGCCCAAGCAGGCGGCTGTCAAGTTAAATCACACCACACAAAAATAAAGCCAGAACCCCAGCTAGCACAGGCAAAAAGACAATTCCTAGCACTGAGTAGTTAGAAGCTTGCCTGAGGCTAAGGGCTAAGCAATGTTAAGTGTTATTGTTAAGCAATGTTAAATCTTCTGTCTCCTAAGGAAAATGACTTTATTTCTTTTCTCCTGAGGGTGCTGTTTTGGAAATCCTAGTGCACTTGTAATACAACCTCGTTAGCAAATGCTGGGCCTTGACTGGGGCCAGTGTCTTAACAGCCTGTGCAGTTTCCAGTTTTCTTTGGTAGTAAACAGAATGAAATCAGCATCCCCCTTATTCTTGCCTGACACAAATTATTACTCACCACAGGTGAGTGGCTGTTTCCTGGGCTGCTGTAATGTGTGAACACCAATGCATACATTTTTACTAAGGGCTTCTTTTTCACTCTAGCCTACAAGTACCTTCCAGCTCTCCTAGACTCCATTCTCATTTATGGGCCCCCTCCCAGTCAGGCCTTTTAGCTCTGAGCTCTCTGTTCACCCATCTCAAGCCTCTGTCGTTCACCTGACCCATGCCCGGCCCCATGAGATCCCATTATCTCACTTCTCCACAGATGGCTCCGTGCATCAGCACATGATGTTGCTCTTCAAAGTTTATAATCAAGTGAGGAGTCTTAAGGAGCAAGGAAGACATGCCGCGTCTCATCTGTGGTCCCTGCACATGGGCCATAGAAGATAGCTAGAGAAACTCAGACAACCCCATTCATCGGTTCCACTACAAAATTCACATTAGACAGCACCAGCTGGGCCCCCGCTGCTGGCCAGCATTGCTTTTAATCAGATGATCATCTCCCCTGACTCTCCCACAGTGGATGTTCAGACCCTGTTCTACCAAGATGACTAAACTCCCCAAGCCCAGTCTCTAGAGATGACCTCACTTCCTTTCCTCTCCGACCCTGAGGCATTTGACATCAGCCCTCAACTTCTGCTCCTGGATGCTCAGCCTGCTGTGTCTTCTCTAACATTCACTTCCCAGGGGAACCACAGCTTGGAGCCAGGCCCTGAGTGCAGCCCGCAGCTCAGTCACTTACCACCTGTGTGGCCCTGGCCAGTGATCTCACTGCTCCAGGCTCTGCTTCCTCATCTGCAAATTGGGGGTGACATCAGGGTCTCCATCTAGTGGTGGTATGAGGATTAAATACATGACAGTAATGCAATCAGTGGACAGCCTCACCTACCTGAAGGATTTTTTTTCAGCTCTTCTTGTTTGATCCATGGGGATGAAATTTTCCTTTCTGTAATGAAGCAAGCTCATTTGCACTGGCATCTTTGAGACCTGAGGCCACCGACTTTCCTTCCTTGGGCTGTACCTCTCCACTTTTTATTTCCTCCCCCTGCCTACAATGGTGAATGCAGAGACTCAACTGCACAGCTTTCTGGGAGTCCCTTCCATCCTGTGGAGAATGCAGGGCCAGCACCTGTGTGGAGATACACAGGGGCTTCTGACTGAAGCAGAAAGCATTAGTTGACTCTGAGGAAAGAGTTCAGGAGTCCAGACAATGGAGAGTAAGAGGGCACAGGCAAACTAATGCGATTTGAGTGACATGTGCTGATGGAGATGCTGAGAGACATTGTTCCCAGGGCTAGAGAATCCATATAATGGATCCATGATGCTGACTTTGGTCTAGGCAAGAGACCAGGGCTGTTGGCTTAGGACAGGGATGACAAACTCATAGTCAGGGCTCGCAGCTGGAGGAGGGCAGGACTCGCAGCTGGAGGAGGGCAGGACTCGTCCTATAAACTTAACTTTTGTCCTCAACCTTCCTGCCTCACCTAGGGTCCAACATTTCCATTTTAAAAAGTGGGCTATAAATGTTGGCTCTGTTTCCACAGGACCCACTCACTCTGCAGCCTCTTGCCCCAGGCCTCTGATCGCA